GTTCATTAACCTCCTCCACGTTCCGTCGTGCATCTGCACTAAAAGAGTACGCAACACCTTCCGTTCTAAAACACCACGAGGATAGTCCAGGTCTCGTGGTCATTTAGGACCACCGGTCTAATCGGCGTCTTGTAGAGAGTCAACTTCGTGTGGCGGTGGATTTTATTCAAACGGGGTGTCCTCCGGAGTCCAAAGTAGGCACAATTCTCTGCCATAATGCGTCTTTGAATTTCTCTACTGGTATCATTTTCGGCGGTCACCAGTGAGCCCAAATACACGAACTCATCGACCACCTCGATTTCATCATCGTCAATCTGTACTCGGGGTGGGAGACTAAAATTGTCTTCCCTAGAACCTCTTCCTCTCAAGTATGTTGTCTTCCATGCGTTGATTGCAAGTCCAATCCGCCTAGCTTGAGCCTTCAGTCTGATGTAAGCTTCCGCCATCGTCTCAAAGTTCCGTGCCATGATGAAGATGTCATCGGCGAGGCCATGAAGCTGGATGGATTTCCTGAAGATCGTGTCACTCGTGTCTATCCCAACTCTTCTGATCACACCTTCTAACGCGATGTTGAATAGCAGACACGAAAGTCCATCAACTTGCCGTAACCTCCTTCGAGATTCAAAAGAAACTAAAGAGTGTCCCAGATACTCGAACAACGCACATCCATCACTCGATCCATCGTCGCTTTGACCAGTCGCGTCAGTTTATCCGGAAATTCGTACTCGTATCGTTCCGGATTGCGGAGGAGAAGGCGCTCTTCATCTAGATCAAATCCAGAGTAATTAATTTTCCAATATGATTATGGAAAGGCAGCGGAGGTACGGATGCTCGTACGGATGTCTCTTGCAGGGGTAACGTTCAATACGTGCGGGTGTTGGATCTTCCACCGGAGGTGCCGGATAATTATCATTGGTGCTGATGAAATACGGAGAAGTGAAACGTGTCATTTGGGAGAAATTCCCTGCGGAATTGCGCCTCGACATATATACAGGTAAAAAATACATGAAGGTAGAAAGGAACTTTCCTCCTCGGTCCATTTCCTAAACCGGAAGGTAAATATATTGTACGATGGGAATAAGGATAAATGCTTCCTATGTAAGACGAAGGGGCATCGGATGAATTCCTACCCCAAACGGAAGACCTGGAAGAAACCAAAAAAGCACCACCAGGACAAATAAAATCAGCGGCAGTACATACGCTGGTGCAGTGGCTGAAGGTGCGTCGTTGGACAATCAGAAAACGGATAAAGAAGTAGCGGTAGCCTTATGAGACTCAGGTCTTCCTCACTACTTTTTTCATACATTGTGTACAGCTAAAAGGGAACCCATGTGCGCGTGAACGTCATTTAAGAGTGAGCCACAACGCACCAACGTTTCTATTCTTCGGTGGATCCCCGGTTGTCATATGGACATTTGGTCGAATGGACGATTGGCCGAATGGACGATTGGCCGAATGAAATAATCTTCTTTATACATTTACATAAAAATATTACAATTCTAAAATGTACTAAAGAACTTTAGGAGAACGTCCCTTTCTAACAATTGAGAATAACCATTGGCGTAGCCAGGCATGGAAAATCATTTCAATTCATTTCGTGCATTTATTTACATTAATTTGCCTCTAACTTTTTTCATCAACAGAATTCCGTAAAATAATATATTAAGCTGTTTTAGGTTTTGTCAATTGCTACAACTTTTGTAAACATCTCAAATCTGTATCTCTTGTGCATGATGAACCAGAGCAAACAGAACCCACCATTGTTTTTCAGTAAATGTAAATTACATTCACTGAAAAACTAAAACAAGTTCAACCCACTCTAGATTGTCATGCATAAGATTTACAGATTTGAGATATTCACAAAAGTTATATCTTATAATAAAACCTGCAAAAGCTTCATACATCATTTTTAAGAATTCTGTTGATGAAAAAAGGCAAATGAATGTAAATGAATGCACGAAATGAATGTTAATGATTTTCCATGCCTGGATTTAGCTAATTGGGGTGCCAAGGTGGCCAGGCCCCCTCCATTATTATGTAGCCCAAGAATTGTGGGTGTTTTTTTTTGACTCACCGGTATTTTGTCAAGCCTCTCAAGTTCGATGTTACTACTTAACAACGATTAATAAAATTGGACCATAAACAACGATTTTTTAAAGTCCTTTATGTTGATTACTTTTCTTATGTTCTGGACTAAAAGAAACAATTTTGAGAAATTATATTGTATCGATATTTCATCGATGGCAAAATAACACATTTTCAGGCTCCACAAATTACCCATGAGCCCAGGGATTTTTCTTCTACTTCTGGGAACTTTGTAAAACTTCAAGAACTTCTAAGAAGTTCAGGAAATATCGTAGATTTTGAGGAAATTTAGTAGAAGTTCTGGGAACTTTATAAATCTTAAGAAAAATTCGTTTGTTTCTGGAACGTGGAAAAGTTCTGAAAACTGTGTGAACGTAGAAAATTTATTTAAGTTTGAAGTGCTTCGTGGAGTTAAGGGAAGCTCATTATTGATCCAGAACTTTTAAATAATCTTAGGGCACTTTTTTTGAAGCCTCATGGACTTGAAATAGTTGTGGAAATTACGTTCAAATTAAAAAAAAATTCGTTCGTGGAACTTCACGGAAAATCAACGAGAAACGTAGAAGTGCAGCAATTTTTGTAGAAGTTTTGCGAATTTAGTAGCATTTTGAGGAGCTGCATAAAACTTCATATAAGTGTAAGGAATGTTCAACAAGTTCTGGGGATATTGTAATAGATCTAAAAATAGTTCAATAAATTTCTAAGAACTTCAAGGATTCTCGCTTCAGTTCAGGGATCTTCGTTGCAGCTCATCAGAGATCTCACTTCAAAAATGCTCCAAGAACTTCTAAGAGGTTTTGGGAACTTCGTTAAATGTTAAGGAACTTTGAAGATGTTCAAGAATATGGCGGTTTATGCGCTTACCAAACCGTTGGGTACATTCGAGCAACCCAAGTAGCATTGCAAGTTTTATCGAGATTGCAAAGTAATGTACAAGTATAAATCAACCCTAATAAAATCAAAATGATCAATTGGTTACATGAGCGATCGTGACACATTTCACCTCATGCATCTTGTGCAAGAGCTATCTTATACATAGTGACTACAGTAGCAGAGCGAGAGCATTCCGCTGGAACCTCAATCCAAGACGTTTATGGGTAGGTGCAGAGTTGGTAAATGTATATTTTTACTACAGATATGTCACCATAAAGATTGTATGGAGAAAACTAATGTCATGACATTTTTCCTTACAACATTTTCATGACACTTACCACCTCTGGGCAGGTGAATGTGACGACAACACGCCTCGTTACAGTAACACCGTCTTGGGTGAAAACCGATGATGAGGATCGTCAATGCTGATGCATTTTAAGTCATCGTTACACATAGTTTGGAAAGTCATAAGTATACTAGGCTGGGTTAACTTAACAACTGCTCTTTCAATGCGTATTGAGGTCCCCAACAACTGTGCAACATTTCAACGAAATTGTAATCTCGATACGCGGGTGAACTTTAAATTTAGTATGGGAAACGGAGCGATCCTCATGACTTGCTTGCCAAAAATCAAAATATTGCTCAAATTTCGCCAAAACTAGGACTTACATTGAGAATAGTATAGAAAACCACTTTGTTCAGGACTGTAAATCGATTTGATCTTTGTTCAAAAAGTTACCAATCTTCCATTTTAGACCAACTGTTCCACACGAACCTACAAGCACATATGTACGCCTGTTGGTTTGCGAGGAGCAATAGGTCTTAATTAATATAATATTAACTTTGTTCTCAGTGTTCTTCATAGTATTCCCAATCCATTTCCGAGATTTGGTGGCATTTGAGCAATATTTGAATTTTTGACTTGCAAATAAATAGGTTCGTTTCATTTCCCATAAATGCTTCCATACAAAATTTAAAATTCTCCAGCAAATCGAGGTCATAACCAAATTCGTTCAAATTTTACACCGTTGTTGGGGACCTCAATACACATTGGAAGAGCAGTGGCAAACAGGGGGTTGTGATCTACCATACAAACTTGATCCACCTTACGGTATACCGTTGCTGTACTATATTCTAGTTCGTTTGATTATTAACTAAACCAAGTATTCAAAACTATTATATTTACTGTATAATTAGGATTTCGTTGATTTTGGACCACCGTGAGTCATCCCTATGACGTTTTTAATAATTAATCTATTATTAAAAATTGTGATCACAAGGAGCAAACATACATTATTTTCAAAATCCAGTCAATTTTGGCACGGTGCCAAAATCGAACGTCTTAGTGGTTTTGCTGCCAAAATCGAACCGAGAAAAAATCGAACGGGTACTGTATTCGAACTTGGAAGCTTTAATAACTAATAACTTTAGGTTTGGAACTTCCCAAAACTCCCTCAATTTTGCCCACTCCGTCGAGCCCTAACGGCGACAGTGTGCAGTCACTGCTCGATCACCACGCGCTATGTGTAATAGCTCACCATCATCAGCAACCTTTCAACCGAAAAATCCTGCGCAAAGTTCAGTACGAGGTGTGCGCGCGTGTTTGTATTCGTCGTATAGATCATCACCCGACATTTTTCCACCCACTCACCCACAAACCTGTTGCGTATGCATGCTGGCGCGCCGATCGCTCTGCTCTTCCCGGGAATGCCATTCTTCCAAAGTCTCACCGGTCCCATTCTGCCGTAGTTCTGAACGTGTATTCGTGCGCCACCCGATAATGTGGGCGACTAATTTTAGCGGCCTGTGTCGTCGCCGGTCCATTGCGCCTTTGCGCCGTGTCCCGTCCCGTCGTGATCCCATCCCAGCCTAAGTCAGTGTGGGAAAATATAAAAAGATTTTTCTCAGGGGGCCCCACCGAGAATGGTCTAAAAAAGGCATGTGCATGGTACCCGAGAGGCGAGTCCGTGTTTGACTGTGTGAGTGTGAGTCCTAGGAACGAGATTGAGGCAACGAACCAGGCCACCGACCGAACCGATCCGGGCCAACCGAGGCAGCTGTACTTATCAACGTCGGAGCTCTACAGCAATCAGTCGCTCAGGAGCTTTAGCCAAGTCAAGTCGCTCTAGTTAAGAACCAACTACCCAAAGCATCATGGTAAGGAGGAAGGATCACCCAGAAGAAAGATGGAGATAGTGGCGCTGTGTGTTTGACTTGTGATAAATTTGATGGAGTTTGGTGAAGATCTTGATTGATTATCGACGGTGTGCGGATGGTCGCGAATTTCTGGAACGCGCTAGCAGGTGTATCAAGTGCAACCGGTGCTGAATGTGGCAGGAAATTTTCTCAAAATGTGCACGTGTTGAATTTGGTACCTAAAGTAGTTCAAAGCAGTTGATGAGCCTCTAAATGGTGTGAATTCACGTGAAACAGTAGATCCTGATCAGGATAGTGAATCGATGGAAACTACTTGATTATTGCAAGGACTTTTTGACACTGTGGATAATTCGAAGGATATGAATCAACGGTAATAAATAATTTCCAGTGCTGTTGAATGGTGTCGAATGGCTTTATAAGGAAATATGGCAGCATGACGCACATGAAGTCGTTAGTGTTACGTCATAAGCTATTAAGCAGTGGTTTCTCAGAAGTTGATCAGACCCTGTGGGTCTATTGACAGCCAGTGAGGTTCCACACTTACTTTACAGTTTCCAAATGTTAATTTGTTTTTTTTTTATCAAAGGAAAATCTACTTATGCATTCTTCTGGATTCGTAATTCAATACCTTCACGATGAAAAGTGACAATTAATTTTGACATCTCAGTCAAGTGATCTTCCTGCCAAGAAAATTTTCCAACAAGCATCCAATTTTCCGAAAATCGGTCCTACTTAAGATTTGAATCTCGGTCGCCAGCGCTAGTTAGAGTGTGTGGAAAATTTGCTCACTCGCACATTTCTAAAAATAGATTTTGTTTTCCACAAACCGGTGATGGCGATCTACGACGTCGTTTCGTGCGAGGTGTTTGTCGGTGGTTACGTAAAAAAAAAATCTATATTCTACGCACGCACCAACCGAGCGCCGCTAGCACATACAGGTCGTGAAAGTCGTGCACTAAAAATAGACACCTTCGCCGTTGATCATCTTGGCCGCGCTTGCACCGGAGGAATTAATCAAGATCTTCTTCATAAACGACGGGAAATGGAACGCAAGATGGAATCCAAAGCAGCCTCGTTATTGGATTGGATTATTGGCATGGCAGATGATTAATGATTGATCTTTTTTGCCATTCCAGTCTGAGAAGCCAAAGAAGACCAAGAAGAAGGCCTCCTCCAAGGAAGAGACCCCAGCAGAGACCCCAGCGCCAGAGACCCCGGCGGCACCAACCCCATCGGACTCCGGCTCTCAGCGAGGATCTACTCGCGGCTCATCCTCCCGCAAGGCCAAGAAGGCCCCATCTTCCGTCTTCGTCCTCTTCTCCCAGAAGCAGATCGCCGAATTCAAGGAGGTAAGAAATTCGCTGTTTTGAATCTTGAAACGCCAAAGCTAAACCGCATCCCTCTCAATTCAACAGGCTTTCCAGCTGATGGACAACGACAAGGATGGTGTGATCGGCAAGAACGATCTCCGTTCGACCTTCGATGCCCTGGGTAAACTGGTTTCCGACAAGGAATTGGACGAAATGCTTGGCGAAGCACAAGGCCCACTCAACTTCACCCAGCTGCTGACGCTGTTCGCCAACCGCATGTCCGGAGGAGGTACCGATGACGATGATGTTGTCATCAATGCCTTCAAGGCCTTCGACATGAACGGCAAGATCGACGGTGAGAAGTTCCGTTATGCCCTGACTCACTGGGGTGCGGATAAGTTCTCCGAAGACGAGGTTGACGATGCCTTCGACCAGATGATCATCGACGATAAGGGCTTCATCGACACCTCGGCCCTGATCGGTATGCTCACCGGCACCGAAGAGGGAGAGGAAGAATAAACTCCTCGCCAACAACCACAACTCCCCTCCCCTCTTTAAAACAATCCTTTTTTCTATTTATTTTAACAACTTTAACTTGTTTAAAAAAGAAGAAACATCTACAAAGAACAAGCAGTGACAACAACAACAACAACAACAACAATAACAATACGGAGAACATCTTCATGTTAATCACAATTCCATTTGCTTACATCATCTGATTCTAAATTATTACTTTTATTTTCTTATGATAAGACATGAATTTTTAAGCTATAAGAAGAATAAAGTTATATAAAAAAAAGTCCAAAAAATAAAGCAAAAAAAGTGCAAAAGAACTCATACCGAGGAGAAAACAAACGATTGCGTCTTTCTACTAAAACACAAAGTCTTAAACTTACAAGGACACATCGCGACTCGCCTCAAGGTGTCGGCAGCTAGAGCCTATTAGGAAGCGCAGAGTGAGACAAAGGAGGAATGTGTACAATATTGGAATTCGGCAGAAATAAATGTTTTCGTTTTTTTTAAATGAAAAAAAAAGAAGCAGACCGGCATTCCCATATTCATACACACTGCGAAAAAGTCATGCAAATTTCGGTGCCCTGAGGCTGACGCATGCAAGCGGCCATTAAGCAGTTGAAAGAATTCAAATCTAACGCACTATTCGACGAGTTGAATAAGTGTCAGCTTCAGGACCCTCAATTTTACATGACATGTTTGTTTGCGTTTCATGATTTACGTCTCGTGTGAAAATAGTTATTTCAAAGTGTGTGCATGCATACATATAACTTTTGAGTGTGTCAGTCAGTGAGTGATTCATTCGGTTTCGAATAGTAGAGATTTAAAAGTAAGACGAAAATCTACGCTGTCCTGTTTTCATAGTTTACCAAAATCGAAAGAAGGCAAACTTTTTCGAAAATTTTGTCTACTTATAATATTTTTACTGAGCGATTTGAAATTTGCTGGGATTTTTACTCTCGCACATCAAGCTGATGCTATTTATAGCGCTTGAGAGATGTTTAAATTTTGCTCATTGCATCAATGCTACCCAAGTGTGCCGGATCTGCAAAAAGACATAAATTTAGATTTTCTGCTTCTTAGGCTGTGAACCATTTGCCGAGTTAAATTTAACTCGTGGTTAAAAGTGACATTTCGAAAGTTATTTCTTATGTTCGAAAATCCCCGTGCTGTCGATCGACCGGTTTTCGAGCCACGGTCGTCAAAATTTAACTTCTTGTCTGTCAGAAATAACCATGCTCGGATAGCAGGGTTAATCGATAACTTTCCATCTGTCAAATTTTAACCAAAAGTTAAAAAAAAATCGCCAAATGGTTCAGAGCCTTAGTTGGCTATTAGGTCTAAACAGGAGCTTTGTGTCTGTTGTCAAATTTGTGTTCTCCGAGCAGTTGGAAGTGTGGACATTTTGAGAGCTTTCTAAGCTTATTACGTTTATATAAGGTCCGGGCCAACAGGCAGCTTGCTGGTGTTAGAAACAAAAATATTGGAAACATTGCTGAGCACTCAAGTGACGACGTCACTCTACCATAACATTCCACACTGCGAACAGTAAGATTTACGTCACTGCCAACAGCTGTTTCGCCTAAAAAGATAAACATTACAATTAAATACGAAGACCACTAAACATTTGCACATTTCATTAACACCAATAAGCCTTTTGGCCCGTACCTTATATAAATGACATTGTTTCTATGCTTGTACCATTTTTGCATTAGTATGTGGCAAACACAAATAATAATCCGAGTAGAAAATCGGATTATGAACCACCGACATGAAATGCCGCGCCCTTACCAGACAAGCTTGAATTTCGTAAAAATGCGAATTTTAAATCCGCATTTTCCAATTATCTAATACATGGGTGGTCAAAATCTCGAAAATGCACGGTGATATTGACAATTTTGCTTTGATCACTCATATGAGCTAACAGTCACAGTCAAGGCAAACTATGTAAATTTTCAATGACAATGCTGTCAGTGATGAACATTTGTATATTGTTTTTAACTAAATTTGTAACGAGATTAAAAGACTTGAGCAACACAGAAACATGGAGCCGTTAATGTGAACAAGCATCTACGTTTTAAACTGCTTAGATAACAATAATGTAACACAGAATGCACGAAATTACACTTTTTGTTACCAGGTGAATCTTTGAAAAAATTAAAGAGATTTTTTTTTTTTTTTTGAAGGTCAAGTATGTCAATGACTAAAGGGTGATACGGTCAAAATTTGGTCAAGGGAAAACGCGTGTAAATCGGTGAAATCGTTTATTTAAAAAATCAAATTAAATTTCTTTTTCAAGTTCAATTAGTATAAAATTCAGGAAAAATATTCAGTTAGGCTTCCGCTTTTCCAAATCCGAATTGCCGGGCCTTACGCTTGACTCCTGCCATCAGATTTTGTACAGCCACCTTGTCCACCTTCTTCGCCGCAGAAAGCCAGTTTGCCTTGAACTGCTGCTCGCCCTTAGCAGTTTTTTTGGTCTTCTTTAGGTTCCGCTTGACAATAGCCCAGTATTTCTCAATTGGGCGGAGCTCTGGCGTGTTGGGAGGGTTCTTGTCCTTGGGAACCACCTGCACGTTGTTGGCGGCGTACCACTCCATGGCCTTTTTACCGTAATGGCAAGATGCCAAATCCGGCCAAAACAGTACGGAACAACCGTGTTTCTTCAGGAAAGGCAGCAGACGTTTATTCAAACACTCTTTCACGTAAATTTCTTGGTTGACAGTCCCGGAAGCTATGAAAATGCTGCTTTTCAAGCCACAGGTACAGATGGCTTGCCAAACCAGATATTTCTTTGCGAACTTTGACAGTTTCATGTGCTTGAAAACATCTGCTACCTTTCCCCTTCCTTTTGCCGTATAAAACTCCTGTCCCGGAAGCTGCTTGTAGTCGGCTTTGACGTAGGTTTCGTCGTCCATTACCACGCAGTCAAACTTCGTCAGCATCGTCGTGTACAGCCTCCGAGATCGCGCTTTGGCCGTCGTATTTTGTTTATCATCGCGATTTGGAGTCACTACCTTCTTGTAAGTCGATAGTCCGGCTCGTTTTTTGGCTCGATGCACGGTTGTAGACGATACACCCAGCTTATTTGCGGCATCTCGGAGAGAGAGGTTAGGGTTTCGCTTGAAACTACCGGCAACTCTCTTTGTCGTCTCAGCGGCTTCCGGTTTTCGATTTCCCCCCGATTCAGACTTCCTGGCTGTCGACAAACGTTCCCCAAACACTTTAATTACATTTGTAACGGTTGATTTGGCAACTTTTAGCGATTTTGCCAACTTTGCGTGCGAGTAGCTCGGATTTTCGCGATGCGCGAGCAAAATTTTGATACACTGCTCTTCTTGCTTGAACGGCATTTTGACAACTGAAGAGTGACTTCCAAAATCAAAATAGGAGCAACATTCTACACACACACACCTTCAAAATGAGGGGTGTTCAGGTTTTTTAAATGCAAAATTGAAAGAAATACGTCAAGTTGATATTGACCAAATTTTGACCGTATAACCATAGAGGTAACTCTAAGACCACTGGGTCCCGAAGAAAATCATTATTATTTTTGGCTCACTCAGTACCAGAACAACGGTCCCAAGCAGTCCCAAGCTATTTCATTCACCCCTGCATGTTCTGCATGAATCCACATACCCCTGATGTTATCTGTCAAACTTTCATAGCGAATCAAAACAAACATAGTGTAGTAATAGAATTTCAACTAGAATAGGGTACGTTAATCGTTTGCTTGGGACCAATAGGCTACTAAAGTGGTGAGCCAATTTAAAATCGTTAGTTTCGTATTGATTGTTGGTATAACCATAGAGGTAACTCTAAGACCACTGGGTCCCGAAGAAAATCATTATTATTTTTGGCTCACTCAGTACCAGAACAACGGTCCCAAGCAGTCCCAAGCTATTTCACTCACCCCTGCATGTTCTGCGTGAATCCACACACCCCTGATGTTATCTGTCAAACTTTCATAGCGAATCAAAACAAACATAGTGTAGTAATAGAATTTCAACTAGAATAGGGTACGTTAACCGTTTGCTTGGGACCAATAGGCTACTAAAGTGGTGAGCCAATTTAAAATCGTTAGTTTCGTATTGATTGTTGGTATAACCATAGAGGTAACTCTAAGACCACTGGGTCCCGAAGAAAGTCATTATTATTTTTGGCTCACTCAGTACCAGAACAACGGTCCCAAGCAGTCCCAAGCTATTTCACTCACCCCTGCATGTTCTGCATGAATCCACACACCCCTGATGTTATCTGTCAAACTTTCATAGCGAATCAAAACAAACATAGTGTAGTAATAGAATTTCAACTAGAATAGGGTACGTTAATCGTTTGCTTGGGACCAATAGGCTACTAAAGTGGTGAGCCAATTTAAAATCGTTAGTTTCGTATTGATTGTTGGTATAACCCTTTATGTGAAGAACAATTTTGTCAATATCGCGCGAAATTCTGTCAATGACAATGACAAATCTTAGCACTGGTCACAGCCACTATTACCCCCTAAAATCCTACCTACGAAATGAATCTCTAGATGAATAATTCCAATATGCTCGATTACCTTCATCGACTTTTCCTTTTGATAACCACGGCTTTGTTGGATAATTGAGGGTCTCATCTCTCTCTCTCTTCTTTGGCTTTATTCCGTCGCCACTGGGACTTTACGCTGGCCCTCAACTTATGTTGTTTTCGTTTTTACGGTGTAGCTACACCAGTGCTACACTCCCGTACACCGAAATAGTTTAAGGTGTAGATATCGGATGAACGTTTATTTAAACGTTTTATTAAATTATGTTGAGCTGTCCATGACTTGCGCTTATTCCTGCTTACACTACACGGAAAGAAAAAAAAACACCTAATTTTGAGTTCTTTGAGATCGATGCGCCTACTTAATTTTGAGTTGTTGTCATTCACTCGCATGTAGACAGGATTACTTACTTTTAAGTTGTCTTCACGCAACGTCAAGTTCACACTAATCAAAATTGAGTTTTACATAACTTACTCAATTTTAACTTGGCGCAAGAAACTGTCGACTTGGGCGAATAGAACTCAATTTGGGGTTGTTAAGCTCTTCTCGTTTTTGACAACAACAAAAGAGCAATTGAGAGGCATCAACTCAAAAGTAAGTTTAAAGAACTCAACCTTTGGGTAGTTTTGGTTCTCCGTGTACACCTAAAGAGACTGAGGCGACATCTTATCCAATTGACAGGTCTTCTGCTCGATTGGAATAACTTTTCCTATGACTTTGACCTATAATCGATTGTTCCAATTTTGGCATGTCGTCTCTTTATAAATTCAGCCTCTTTAACTACACCGTATAGTCACTATATTTATTGTCTGGC